AGGAGAAAAAAAAAGAAAGAAAGAAAGAAAGAAAGAAAGAAAGAAAGGAAGGAAGGAAGGAAGGAAGGAAGGAAGGAAGGAAGGAAGGAAGGAAGGAAGGAAGGAAGGAAAAGAAAGAAAGAAAGAAAGAAAGAAAGAAGGAAGGAAGGAAGGAAGGAAGGAAAGAAGGAAGAGAAAAGAAAGAAAGAAAAAAGGAAGAAAGAAAGGAGGAAAGAAAGGAAGCCATATTTTGAGTAACTGGACCTTTAAAGCTACTGGTTCTAAGCATAGGGAGATTTGATTTAATCCATCAAAAGTCTTTTGATATACAGTATAAATGCTAACCGGAAGCTAATATTCAAGAAATTACTTTAAAATGTATAAAGCTATCCACATACACCACTTTGAGATTATATGTATAACAATAATTATGTAGCAAACCGATAAATAATGGTGTCCTCACACAAACACAATGAGTCACATACATGGACCAGACATTAGGATGAAAATATGCAATGGCAGCATTTGTGTAATGACTTCATTTTGAATGTCATTTGAGTGTCACTATAGTTTTTGCCGATGCCACTGTATCAACACATACTTAATGGCAGCTTTGGAACTGCTTTTAACATTAAGTTATCAGATTGTGGAGAGGAAAAAGGGATTACAATAAATATATATATTTTTGCAGTGCATATTCTTTTATACAAAGAATGGGGTAAAGATGTAAGATCTCTCCCTCCTCCTCGACAAATATTCTCTAAAGCAGAGGTCTCCAAACTTGGCAACTTTAAGACTTGTGGACGTCAACTCCCAGAATTCTCCAGCCAGCTGGGAGTTGAAGTCCACAAGTCTTAAAGTTGCCAAGTTTGGAGACCTCTGCTCTAAAGCAATGTTTCTTAACCTTGGCAACTTTAAGAGATGTGGATTTCAACTCTCCAAATCTCCCCAGCCAACATAAAAACACTGCTCTAAAGAATACATTTTCTTAAATGTTCTTAATTTATTTCATTGGTTTGGTGGCTTAAGCTTTTAGCTGGATCTCTTTTTTCTTTTTCTCAGCAACTTAGTATACTTTTCTCCAGTTTCTTATTGTTTCTAGTGATGGAAAAGAAGAAATCTTTCAGGGATCCAAGGTCAAAACGCACACAGAATGGTGAATAAACAAAAATAAAAGTACCATAAGTGGGAAGATGCAAACTTACATCAACATAATTGGCATTAATATAGTCAGTAAGTTTTCCATCCTTGTCTGAAAGTTGGGTAAGTTTAACTCTGCTATGATCATCTACATTGGAAAGAAAGTGAAAATAAAAAACTTTCAGCAACAGAAATAAATAGTCTTTCTTAATGATGAACTACTAAAATTAAAAAAAAAACAAATTTATAGTCGATCCACTATCCTAAGTTTACCAGATATAATACAATAAGGTGAAAACAAACCAAAATACAATATACAGAGAGTATATTTGCTTTTGGTAGAGGTTTTTTTTCTTTGTTGCTATACATGAAAGCTTCTATGCGAGTTTTTAGCGAAATGTTCTTTTTGTAGATAATCCACACTGTTCCTAGAGAAACGAAAGATTCCTTGGGATAACTAGAGATAGAAGAGCTACCTACTGTTCTGTGTATATTGACATGCATTATCATTGAAACCAAAGGTGATATTCAGCAGGTTCTGACCAGTTCTGGAGAACCGGTAGCGGAAATTTTGAGTAGTTTGGAGAACCAGCTAATACCACCTCTGACTGGCCCCGCCCGCCTCTATTCTCTGCCTCCTGAGTCCCAGCTGATTGGCTGGATCTTCTTTTGTTGCCTTGCACAGGAGAACGGAGCTGGAAAGCAGGTTATTGGAGTGGGGAGGGAATGGGATTTTACAGTAATCTTCCCCCTGGTATGGGGAGGAAATGGAGATTTTACAGTATCCTTCCCCTGTCACACCCACCAAGCCACACCCACCAAGCCACGCCCAAAGAACCAGCAGTAATTTTTTTTTGAATCCCACTACTGATTGAAACCAAACTGTTATGAATTAAAAAAAATAGTTTCACTGGAATACCCAAACATAGTATAGTTATACGTTTCTACTTTATACCTCAGCTTCCTTCTCTCGCAAATAGTCAAGATGGCTTCTCCAATTACATAGAAGTATAGCAGCTAATTTATATCATATTTCTTAACATTAACAACTTTAGCATGTGTGGACTTCAAGTCCTAGATTTCTCAGCATGCTATTTACAATAAAGAATATGTAGAATTACTTACAGGCAACAATATTTATGTATCTATTCTTATTCTTGTTATCTGGATGATTAGAATTGTCTGATGTAATACCTAGATCTACTGTGCAACTCTGAATTTCCTGAAAAAAAGGAAATAGAAACATGCTGCTGATTACACATGCATATTTGCATACATGGCCCCACCCCACCAAATATCCATATCTTGCCACTATTTCTTTACTAAAATAAGATTTGTTTAAATGATTCCTTACCTGATAAAACTCTTTCAGTGTCTAATGAAGGAATGAATGCAAAAATAAAAATAAATCAAATTTCACAGCACACAAATGAATGTTTATATATTACAAATACAATGGAAAGCAGTTATGATTATGAGATACACATATATAGATATATACATGTTGATAATTGAACATTGATGTGTATTTCCAATATAAAGCATGCAATTAAAATCATTTTGAAACATAATTTAGTGCCTAGATGTATAATTCAATGTTCATTGAAGTCAGTGGAAATACATCATTTTGCTATCTTAAATCATGGATTGCTGTTTCAAGGTATAATGTGTAAAAATGCTTGTGATTTTTCAGTAGTATTGTCTTCAACAGAAAGTGGCTTGGTAAATGCAAACTTGTTTTGCAAATAAAAATATTAATGGCAACGTTTCCATTAAACATGCAAATAAGTCATGCATAGAGAACTGGTAAAATATATGAACTGTAGATGAAGTTAAATTTTTGTTTCACTGATGCAAGACACAGAAATTAGGTATCTAATGGGACTACTTTTAATGTTTTCAATGCCTTATATCAATATTATTCATGGATTGCTTTCTAGAGAAGAAAATCAAATGATGTATGCATGTGTTCTTATGAAACTAACCACCAAACATACACTGGGTTTCTCACAAATATAAGACGTGAAACTGAATAAGGTAAATTTAGTATTATTTTGTTATATATTTATCAAGACTTCCAAATGTTTCTCTTTTCCTATACTGCGAGCACACTTTGTTTAAATATAGTTAACAAAACCATTTTACTTTCATTTTTATTATTCAGAATTAAGGTCAGAAGCAGCAGTTCTCAGGTAAGACATTCCAGTTTTTTCAAAACTCAACAACTGCTCAGCTTCAAGAGCATAAATTATAGAATGAGAAGTCCACCGAAAAAGGAGAAAAGGCAGAAGAAAAAGTAAGAGGTTTAAACTACAGTACTGTGGATCTAAAAGAGAACTGTACTTAAACACAGAAGAAGATTAATTCAGCTAAGTCAAATGAAAGAGTTCAACTGAATTCACATTTAGCAGCATAGTGCAATTAGAAATGTGATTTTTAGCCAGGTCTTCATCCATGAGCTTCACACATATGAAATGTATAACACGTGAAATAGGAGTACAGGATAATAATAAGTTTGAGATGGGGAGATTTACAGTGGACTGTCAGAATTAAACTTTCTCTTCAAATGCTCCATGTGAAGAAAAAGCTCAAACATAGTTTCTTGCACTTTTTAAAGTTAGTTCTTATGTGTACATTTTGCAGCCTTATTACTACAGCT